ACCATAGCACTCTACCCAGGGGGACAGCTTGAGACTCTGTCTCAATAAATAAATAAATAAATAAGATAAAATAAAGAGCTCTTCTTTCACAAGTTTCTGTCAACATCTATTGAGTTAGATCAATGTGTCATGGTGTGGCAGAATCCATTATCTCTTCATCTTTACGTAGTAAAATTCCCAAGTTTTCTGGGCCCATGAAGGATGCTCTTACAGAGAGGTGTATGTTCCTCAAATTTTCTTCTCCCCTTCCCATCAGCTGGAATGTGGGTAAAATGGTAGAAGCTGGAGTCACTCTAGATCACAAAGCAACAAAAGAAGCCTCTCTCCCCAAACTTGTAGCGCTAACATGACTGTCTATTTAAGTCATTGTTACTTTAGCCTTGTTTTAATCGCTAGACCTGTATCTAACTAAATCACCTTTGGGAACCAAAAGCGACAATCAGGGAAGTATGCTTATGAGGATATATGCTAAATTTTTGTAGTACAGAGACACCAAAGTGCAGTAACTTAAATAAGATGGAAGTTTACTGCATTCTCAAATAAGGGCCTCAGTGTAAGCAGGTTAAGGTGATGTGGTATGTGTGACCCTGGCTGGCATAGCAGAGTTACTCATCAGCCTCCTTCAGAATCCAACATTCCTTCCATCCTGTGGTTCTGCCATACCACTGGGAATTTGACCTTGTCTGCACGGCCAAAACAGGGTGTCCAGCAAGTCTACACGGCCAAAACGGGGTGTCCAGCAAGCTTGCTCTTCTAAGGAAATGAAATGAGAGAAGCAACAGGAAACAAGTAATGAAATGAAACTCCACCCAACTGTTCTATTGGCAAAAACCCAACTATATGGAAAGCTGGAAATTATGGTCTCTAGTTTGCAGACCATGTGTAATATCTCTAATACTAGAAAAGGAAAGGATGGATTTGGGGACATAAGCGATGTGCAAGGGTCAGCCAAGGTTTTTTTTTTTGAAACAGAGTCTCACACTGTTGCCCAGCACAGAGTGCTGTAGCTTTGTCATAGCTCACAGCAACCTCAAACTCTTGGGCTCAAGAGATCCTCTTACCTCAGCCTCCCAAGTAGCTGGGACTAAAGGCACCTGCTACAATGCCCTGCTAGTTTTTCTGTCAAAATGCACAGCTAGCTTTTCTATTTTTAGTAGAGATGGGGTCTCGCCCTTGCTCAGGCTGAGCTCAAACTCCTAAGCTCAAACCTTAATCCTCCCACCTTGGCCTCCCAGAGTGCTAGGATTACAGGTGTGAGCCACTGCACCAGCCAAGGAGTTGGTCGACTTTGATGAGGAACTCTGGCCCCAGGGAGAACACATTGGACATTGGCAACAAAGAGAAAGTGGGTCACCAGAGTTGGTTTACTGTTAGTTGTCTAGAAGGCCCAGTTGAATGTGGAAGGAAAATGACCTGAGTGACTCTAGGGCTGAAGACACCAGAACTTGAGGCTCTCTGTCCTCCCAAGTAGCTTTTCAGTAGACTTCCCTTGGATGAAGGTGACCTTGGGTTTTTTTATTTCTTTTATTCAAAAGCCTGGCAAATGCAACCTGTGTTTTCACATCACATGGAAGAAAGGAGCTGAATAATGCCTGAAAATACAGACCCTCCTCTCCTGCCAGCTTCTTTCATCTTATTCAAAAATTTATTCTTATCAATTCAAGGTTTCTCTTTTTTTGAGACAGTTTCATTTTGTCGCCCTCGGTAGACAGCCATGGAGTCACAGCTCACAGCAACCTCAAACTCTTGGGCTTAAGCCATTCTCTTGCTTCAGCCTCCCAAGTAGCTGGGACTATAGGCGTCCGCCACAACGCCCAGCTATTTTTCTGTTGCAGTTGTCATTGCTGCTCAGCTGGTCCAGGCTGGGTTCATACCCACCAGTCTCGGCGTAGTTGTATGTAGCTGGCGCTATGGGCCAAACCTGCACAAGCCTCTTGCTGATTGTAATGGATCTATTCTTGTCCCCACCATATCCCTTGGGTCTTACCAATAGGGTATTCCACTGATTTCCAATATCAGCATCTTTGTGTCTTTGCCTGAGGGATTTTGAGGTTGTCCTCCCCTACCTATGCACAGAAACCTGGAAAAGCCAGATAATTTATTACTCAACCAATGACTGATTGGTATAAA